GCAAATCTTTAGGGCTTGTGTCTCTTGTTTGGCCAGTCTCAGATCTCTCGGAGGTTGGATCTGGTTTTGTGAATTTATCTTATTTGAAATGAGTGCAGTCGGCCTTTTGTTGAAAATTGTCATGACAGCTTGCTGTTATGCATAAATTTCCAACAGTGAAGTTGACTCCTTACAAATATGGATATTCTAAACTTGGGAACTGATCGGTCTTGCCAATAATTTTTATAAGGACTTAAAGACTACCTTAGAGGTTCAATCTAAACTTCCCTGGAATTTGTATTTACCTAGCAAGTAGCTCACTATGGGTTCCTGATGGTGGTGCAGTTTCTCTCTCTGTCTCTCTCTCTATATATATATGTATGTACATTGGTTTTTGTAATTACCTCTATTTTCAACTAATCCTGTTAATTTGTGGCTGGCTATTCATGTTGAAATAGTTGATGGAAAGAAGTCTCAACTCACTTTAAAGGCAATCTTGGCTTTTGCTGAGCTTATTTGTTTCGTCATATGTTTACAGCAAAGTGTCTGGTTGGATGATGCTTTTGATAGAGCAAAGCAGTTGTACCTGTCTTATTACCGTTCCATTCCGAAAAGCTTAGAGCGGTCTACTGCCCACAAACTCATGGTTGCTATGCTAGATGAAGATGAACGGTTTGTGGAGCCCACACCTCATTCACTGCAACAGCTAACACTTGAACAAGTGAAAGATGCAGTGATGAGTCAATTTGTTTGTGACAACATGGAGGTTTGTGAATTTTTTCTCTTCCTCATTGCTCTATCCTTATTATTTATTATTTTTTTTAAAAAATATATTACTTAGGCTTATGAAACATCTTTGAATCAAATAATGATCTTGTTAGTCGTTCGACAGGTGAGCATTGTTGGAGACTTTTCGGAAGAGGATGTTGAGTCTTGCATTTTGGAGTATCTAGGCACAGTAAGAGAAAGAAGAGGTTATGGGAGAATACAAAATTACATCCCAATCATGTTTCGGCCATATACTGCTGATTTACAGCATCAGCAAGTAAGAACATAACTTGTTACCATGGTGAATGTCTTGTATCCGGTGAAAGTTGAATCTTACTTTTGATTGGATAGTGTACATTCTTTTCTTCTTTCTTTTTTCTTTTTAAATCATTTTTTTACTTTTGTCCATGAATGTTCAATTAACTAGGTGCTTCACATCACAGGTGTTTTTGAAGGACACGGATGAGCGGGCATGTGCATACATTGCAGGCCCTGCACCAAATCGTTGGGGAGTCACTTTTGAAGGAAAGAACCTCTTCGAGTCCATCAGCAATGTTTCTGCTTTTGGTGAGTTATAGCAGCATTTTAGTAGCTTATGTGTCTTGACTTGGTTTGTATACTTGATCACTTGAGCATGACCAGCGAGGAACTATGTTTTCTTTAGTCTTAGTTGTGGTAAAGTATGAGCTGCTTAGATTGCTTTGTATGCGCTCCTGAATATCCTTATAAAACTCCAGAAGTAGAAAATTAAGAGCCAAAACCATTAGGAACTATGTTGTCTTCAGTCTGAGTTGTGTTATATTGTTGAACTGCTTAGATTTCTGATTTCTTTGGCCAAGTTCTATCCTGTCTGGAACGAGGATGTTAGGTGGGTGATTTTGCACGGCCGAAGTGTCCTGCATCTATTACGCACGCATGTAAACATTAATGGACTTCTGCTCTTGTTGCTAGCCAGTGTCTTATAACAAATACTATTTTAAGATTTACCATGGTCGATCTAATTTTGTGATTTGTAATTTCTGTCGAACATGTGTCTTATAACAGATACTATTTTAAGATTTACCATGGTCGATCTACTGCTGTGATTTGTAATTTTTGCCGAACATGTACTGGTGAATTGTTAAAAACAGGTGAAGATAAAAAGTTTGTAGACCAATCTGGAGAATCAGAAAAAGCCGAGAAGAGCCTACAAGGGAAATTGTGTGCTCACCCATTGTTTTTTGCTATTACGTTGAGTTTGTTGCAAGAGGTTATAAATTCCAGGTAATTTTAGCCTACAGGCTTATGTATACAATTTTACTATTATGCACGTGGCTGCACTACAACCCGGCTAGCTTGTTTGTGAATCAGTCACATGTTACTTTACATTTCAGCCTTGGTACAACGTTCTACAACCTATTACCACTATTGTCACAAATGTTGCTTAATATTAAGTGGATTCTATGTCGCATACTTAGCATTCACATTGTTCTTGTATGTGGGGATTTCTTGCTACTTTTTGTTGGATCTTGATATCTTGTTTAATGCTTTCCTGCATAAATTTTTCTCGAGAGAAATAAAGATATGTTGTGACTATCTATCCATAAGATGTCCATGCTTGCATTATCTATATCCTGGGTCCAGGTCCATTTATGTGTATGCAAAAGTATGAACCTATGAGACGTGAATCATTGATATGAAGACGATAATAATGAATGTCAACCAAGAAGGAATGAAATTTAACAAAAACATAATATGAAGTTGATATTCGTGACATATCACTTCGTATTTTATTAGTCAAGTCTTTGTTTATTTATTGTTTTTCGGACCTGTGTTGCATCAGGGAGCCAGCTCCAAGTGCTTGTATCATACTAAGTTATGATAACAGTGGAAGTTTTTCAACTTTTGTTTCCTCTACTGCCATTTATTCGTTTTCATGGCAGATATGGGCCACTGCCTTAGGGTTGAATTGATTAATACATGGATCATGTATGGGTGTTGTAATTTTTTACCCAAACAAGCATGAACATCACTGAGCAGGAAGTAATAGAAGAGTTTTCCATAAAAGTTGATTCTCATGCTCTATGGTTTGTGACTGGATGAGGAAATTTAGGTGATAGTAAATATTTCACCTTTTCTTAATGAAAGAAACTTTCTTCATAATTGTATAGGCTCTTCACAACTGTCCGAGATTCTCTTGGATTAACGTATGATGTGTCGTTTGAGCTAAACCTGTTTGATCGGTTGAAGCTCGGGTGGTATGTAATCTCAGTGACATCAACCCCTGAGAAGGTGATTGGTTCTTACTAATATGATCTGTGTTTATGATTTGCATTTCTACCTTCTGGTTGTTTCATTTCAGTCAAGTTAATGAATTTAACAGGTACATAAAGCTGTTGATGCTTGCAAAAATGTCCTCAGAGGTCTCCAGAGCTCCAGGATTGCCCCAAGGGAGTTAGACAGGGTGAGTTGCTGCATAAATTGATGAATAATAGTGGTTGTTACTTTTTATATTTTCTTTTTATTTTTCTATCATTTAATTGGTTGAGTGTCTCCCGTCGACTCTGCATTTGTTCAGAAAGTACTGGGTTTAAGTGTCAAGATAGTTGAACTAGATAAAATGTAATTCGGAAGATGTCCTTCTAAATTTCAAATTTGAAAAATATATAGAAGATTATATTGAAATAGGAATATTGTGAAATTTATCCAGGTTTACCCAAGTTCGAAAAATTTCTAAGTGTGTTTAGATACTACGTTTGTGTTCATTCTTCGCATGCTCTACATGTAGTTTTAGTAAATTAAAATAACTAGGTTTCTNATTATGGACGACCTCCCAGATTACTTTCTGTCCGAGCTGAATAGGTTCTGTTGTTTATACCTATTTTATCAGATCAGACGCTTGATTCTGTTATTAACTCTTTTGTCGGCATATATTCAGGCTAGGCGAACGCTGCTTATGCGTCATGAAGCTGAGATCAAGTCAAACACGTATTGGCTAGGATTGATGGCCCACTTGCAAGCGACATCTGTTCCAAGCAAGGTTAGCATGTGAAATCATCTCCTATTTCATTAGAAACTGGATACAATTAAAATCAATTAAATAAAAAGATAGTACATTTACTTTAAATTTGTTGTCATTAGCCAATCTTATTTATAAAATCATTCATGCATTAAATGTTTCAAATCACTTCTCAAATGTAGGGAAAATAAACTATATAAAATTATTGACGAAGATATAAATATAATATTAAGATAAAAATTAAAATATGAAAGAATCATCATTATATAATTCATTTAAACTGAGATTATTTATTTTTTCACATTTGGGATAGACTTGAAATCTGTGAACGAAAATGATAATGCATGCAGGACAATGTTACGAGATACAACACTAATTTATGTTGGATAATATATATAGATTGGTACCTTCAATATATATATATATATATATATATATATATATATATATATATGAGTAGATTTAATCAACGAAGGTTGTGTTATTGTTCCTAATCTTTTTTAAGTAAATTTTCGTTTTGAAATAATTATGACTTTAAGACATTTTTAAATATTTGTTTCTCTCTTATATCATTATATCCAGAGAATATATATATCTCAGTATTATGAAATATTATACTTGCAAATATAATTGAATTTTTAACCACTATAATTAGAATAATAAAGAACGAAACATTCAAAAATAGTTGGTTAGTTTCATATCAGTAATGAAAAAATGATCATTATCTACGCATGCAAAAATATTTTTAATATTTTTTATGGTTAAAAGTTATTTTTATTGGATTTATATATGAATATTAAAAATACTCTATTAGCTTAGTAATATATATATATATATATATATATATATAT